GAGCTTTGTGTCCTGCAAAGCATTTAATGACCCCCAACGGCTAGAAACGGCTATTTTCAAGCAAAGGGCTATAAATATGGTTGGTAACATATCTGAAGAAGGTTAAAGAGTATTGTATTGAATATCTTTACTACCAACTTGTGCTTTAACTTGAGATTTTGATCTTCGAGAAATCTTTGTTTGTAATCCTCTTCTTGTGCTATTAGTGAGTGATCTTGGGGATGTGTTGATTCCTTCAAGAGTGATCTATAGAGAGGATCTTTGGGGTTAAAGTGTAAAGGGGTGAGATTTGAGAGAAACCCTTCTTCTTGTAAAGGATTGAGTGGCTCCTTTAAGCCACCATTATTTTTGTTCGTGGAGAGTGTGGAGAGTGTGGAGGAAATCCTTGGTGAGTGAAGCCAAGGTAGAGGACTAGGCTCCAAGTGGTTGGACCGAACCTCTATAAAATCATTGTGCAAGCTATTCTTCTCAACTCTCTCTTTAATTTTTGTTTGGTGGTTGTAAAGAGGTGAAAATTCTCCAACTCCAATTCACCCCCCTTTTGGAGTGCATTGAGTCAACAATTGGTATTAGAGCAAGGGCTCCAATTTGAAGGTTTAACCACCTAGGAGTTGATCGGGGATGGCTCAATTTCTATCTTCTCAACCACTTGAAGGTTTGTCTACCACTAGACCTCCTTTCTTTGATGGGACTAACTATAATTATTGGAAGAATAGGGTGAAGGTCTTCATGCTTGCAAATGTGCCCACGGCATGGATTGTGACTATAAAAGGTCCATATGTACCTATGAAAGTTGTTGGAGAAAGAGAGGTGCCAAAGGAAGAACTTGAATGGAATGATGAAGACTTGGGGAAGATCATGATCAACAACAAAGCAATCAACAACAAAGCAATCAACATGCTTCAATGTGCTCTCAATCCAACGAAATTCCATAGAGTATCCGGATGTGATATGGCCAAGGAGATGTGGGACATGCTAGAAGTCACTCATGAAGGAACAAGCCAAGTAAAGGAGTCAAAAATCAATAGACTCATTTACATGTATGAGCTTTTCAAGATGAAAC